AGGTCTTTTTTCTTTATACATTTGATGGGGCGACGTTTGACCACTATCTCGGCTGGTGGTAAGCGATGATGCGGTCTACGATGGAGCACGTCGTCCCATAAGCAACCTATTCACTCGGGTCTTGAAGACACCCAGGTTATATATACTCTTCAGGAAATACAGACTCTGGCAAAGAATTCCACTCTCTAGCAGTACGCAGAAGGAAGCTTGAAGCGAAGCGCTTCGTGCGTGTGGGCGGAACATCTACCATGAATCGGTGACGGTCAGTCGATCCAGAGCGGTCCGCGAGCCCTGACTTCATTATGACTCCAACAAACTTGTTTTTTTTTGCTCCCATTTTTTCTGTTAATTGCTAATAAAGTTGTCTTTTTTTAAATCACTTATTGGAATTGTCAGTTCACTTGAAATTGCCTTCCATGCAAATCGTCATTTCGATAATCAGTTAGTGTGCTATCCCACAAAACCCGGTGAAATTCATATAGTTGGATCGATCTGATTATAATTTCATTATTGAAACTCCAAGAGCACACGCGTCTATGCATTTTGCCGTTCCAATATAGCGTACCCGGTCTTGCAAAGCAAAGCACGCAGCTTTTTGACGCCCGACCAAAAACCGACTGATGGTGACTCGCTTTGCTAGTTAGTTCGCGGGGTAAGTGTTCTCCAAGAATGTACGCGTATCGCAAGTATGGACATGGCGTTCCGGATTTGCATAAACTGACTACGCGTACCAGTGTACGCGCTATCCTTACACACCTTTGCCGCGGAGAACTTAACGGGTTTTTTTTTTTTTAAGGGGCGAAAATCATCGAATGACTGCTCCCGCCTGGGTGAGGCGGAAGGGAGCGGGGCTCCGGCTCGACGTGCAGGAAAAGAAACGGGGTGGTTTTTAGTCAATAAGAGTCTGACACTCCCTCCCGCCTAAACCAAGAGTCATTCGATGATTTTCACCTCTTAAAAAAAATCCGTACACACCTTTAAGCGAATTATAGACGGATGAGAGCATTTCAACAAGGATAGTATTAGTTATAAACTATCACAGTATCCATTGTTAGTCCTAAAAAAAGTCAATGAAACCCAAGAAAAGTAAAACCAACAGATTCGCGGTACAGTAAAAATGTTGAATATCTCAGAAACTAGCCACTCTCGGACTAAGGATCTCACCGCTCATTTTGTAGGAAATTGACATAACATAACATCACGCCTTTTATCCCCGAAGGGATAGGCAGAGGTGCACATCATGCCACTGTACAATGTAACACCCACTTTTTCACTCTTTATGTTACGAGTCCCATGTAGTGAGCCTATTGCCATTGTAGGAAATTAGTTGTATTATCACCACCCGAAATGAATACGTCGAGTTACAAGTCACTTTGTACAGTGGCTCTTAAGTGTGGGAGAGCCATGCTTCGGCACGAATGGGCCGGCTCGACCGGAGTGATACCACGGCCGAGCAGAAAACCGACGTGAAACATCGCTTGCGTTGTGTTCCGTAGTGTGAGTGAGGTTACCGGAGGCCCAATTACCCCCCTCCCCAATCTCCCAAATCCCCGAATCTTAACAATCCTTCAATTCCTAATCCCCAAAAGGCCGGTAACGTACTTGTAACACCTCTGGTGTTTTGGGTGTCCATAGGCGGCGCCGATTGCTTACCATCAGGGGATCCGGCTGCTCGTTAACCGGCTTATTCCATAAAAAAATGTAGACAAGGTTCATACTCCAGCAGGGGACTGCTACTGGCTGTAGACTTGGGCATTGTCGTTCACTTAATGGATCTAGTTCATCAAATCTCGTTCCGTGAAGTGAACTCGTTCCGCTAACTCGTTCGACAGTTCATTTCGCTTCGGACTTGACTTGGTAGGTTGGTCAGTCAGTACCAAAGAGTATATCATCTTAAATCCTATCTTAAAATTGTGCCCCATAATACCGACTTCTACTCCTACTCCTTCTCCGTTCATGCAGTGAGACTATGGAACTCGCTCCCGCCGAACATTCGGGACGCCAAGTCTATCTCTATCTTTAAGAGACAAGTGAGAGAACATTATCTTTCCTCTTGAAATATAGTTTTGTTTTTCTGTATTTATTTATATATGTATTATAATTGTATTATATTAATTTGTTTTATTGTTTATTATTGTTAATTCTATTGGTTGCTTCGGTCTTATTACTTTTTTTTTATTAATTGATTTTTATCTTGTTTGTGTAACACACTATGTGTCTCAGTATTGTTAATTCATTTCCTACCACAGGCCCACAGGAAGAAATTCCAGTTGGAATATGTGGGGCCTATGTACTCTGTTTTTTATTATGTATTGTCCTCTCTGTTGAATGTGTGTACATAAATTAATAAATAAATAAATATAGTAATATATAGGGGTCAGTACTACTGAGAGACACTGGCTGTTAATGATGATGATGATGATAAATAAAAAATAGATTCAGATTTCAGTCTTTTAATAGAACCGTTATCATTAAATCGATCTAACAATATAGGTACATAGCAATGAAACGTAACCTTAGTACATACAGTAATAATCTAATTACACAATAATATCAATTAAAATGAAATCACAACTATATTTCGTACAATATCATTATTATTCATAATTATCAATAAAAATAGTCAATAATACATAGATTTGGCGGCTAGTTTTACAGTTTTTAATTAATCTTTAAATATGTTTAAAAGAACGAATGAATGAATGAATGAATGAATGAATGAATGAATGGTGAATTTGAACTTCATTTCGTTCATTCATAATTTGACAGATTGATAGAATCAAAATTATAGACATAACGCAAAGCATTTCGGAGGTGCGGACTACTTTTCTATAAGAAGGCCTTTAACCAAACGCCACTTTAGCGCTTGTCTACAGAGAGAGTAGAAATCAAAATGTATGGGGATGACACTGACAAGTGTCAGAATTTACGTCTATTCCATATAATTTGGTTTTCTATTCTACATGTAGACAAGAGCTAAATGGCATTTGGCAACAGCTGATGTCATATTCTCGCCCGTCAATGGTCGAGTTCACTGCGATCTTTACAATCGAAAGTTACAGAATAGATAAGTTACTGGGGCTTTGAAACCTGAGCTTTAACGCGGTGGTTTTTAGTCAGTGTCTGATACTACAGTACCTCTCAACTCACCGAAAGCCCCGTCGTCATTATATTTTTATTTTTTATTTATTGGTTCACCAACAATTGTACACACTAAATCAAATATTAGGTTACATGCAATAGATACATACTTTAGTGTTACAATCACTTAAATGTAAACACCACATGCATAAAAAGGTTGTACAAGGACGACAATAGTAAACAATTTTAAATTAACAAAATAACAACTTGAATTAATCTGAGTATAAAGTAATTCAAAATAATAGATGCCATGTGAGAGCTGCCCCTTCCGTCAACAAGGGAATCAATTATATGATTATGCCCCTCAATAAAAGCACAAGAGATTAATAAACTAAAATTGTGATTAGTCTTATTCAGTATGGGGACTGTAAAACTAGCCTTTACACAATCTAAACGTAGAAATCTTTTACATAACTATTATTTTGAGACACAATTTTAAAATAGATATTTAGGAAACACTTTTTGAAACAGTACGCTCTCTAGAAACGCAAGAAAGATAGAAAGCAAATTTTATTTTCATAAAAGTAAAGAATTACATGTTTCTTTTATGTAATAATAGTTATAATCAACAGATCAATGCTTTTGCATGAATAACATGAAAACAAAAACCATTAAAATGGTAAAAACAATATCTTTTTGTCAGCGTTTCGGGAGCGTTTCATTTACACCGAGTATTAGCATAGATTTTTCGTTCTCTTTCGAAGTAAACTGAGTTTTAAGTTTTAGGAATCCGAATTGAATAAAATAATCTTATTATAATTAAGTAATTTAGGTACATAAATAATACATCTTGAAGTGTAGAATAGGGATGATGACAGGGTATGGTAATGAAAAAATATTAGACACGTATTTTTTTATTTTGGCGTATAATAAAATGATACTTAGATATAACGAATTAAAGTTTAGGAGTGGGGGTTAAAACGTCATTTCTACGAATAAAATGTACCTACATAGAAGTGACGTCACGCGACATTTAGAATCAATATATCTTCGAAACTACTCGTTTCTGTAAGAAAATAAAAAATACGTGTCTAATGTTTTTAAATAATGTACCAGACGGACATTAAAATAGAAATTAGTCATCTACCACTTAAAAATTTGTTGCTGAAATGAACAATTATACTCATTCTTTATGAGTTTAATAACTGACCGTACGACATAGCGGCATACTTCGTACCGCCTAAATTTGTATTTCCCTTATAAATCTTCCCTGGACTTCCAGGAACATTTTAAGACCAAAAATAGCGGTTCATCCGTTCTTGAGATTTAGCGAGACTAACGAACGGAAATTGATTTTTATTTATATATATGAAGTCATACGTGACGTGTATAAGAGAGTATAAGAAATTATTGCTAAATAATTATTACTTCATTCACAGTACAATTTTAATTTATTGAACTTTTAATTTGAGTTAAAAATAACTTAAATATTACAACGTATGTAAACAACGTACTTAAAATACTAGTATAACGAATATACACAGGATGTTCAAGTTATAGACAATTTTTATACAGAGTGAGCTAAATCTTGTGTTATAAGTTTTCGTATTTATGTTATTGAAACTGCCTTGTTGGCCGAGTGGTCGCAAGTGCAACAAACGGGCAAGGGGTCTCAGGTTCCATTCTCGGATTGGGGAAAGTATAAGCATGGAGTCTGGAATAGTGCCCGGTATATGCCAGTGAGGTATATAGGTATATATGGGAGTCATAACAAATAGTGAAAGGTGAAAAGTAGGCGTCACAGTGTACAGTGGTATTAAGTGATGAAATGTGAACCTCTGCCTACCCCTTCAGGGGAAGGTAGGTTCACACGCCTTTTATCCCTATAAATCTTATCCCTTTTATCTCTATATTATGTGTGTTATGTTATTGAAAAACACGTGAATTAAATAGCAACTGTAACAAATTATTATAATTATAAGCAACAATTAATGAAGTATTTTGTCATAACGTTAAAATTTAGCTCAGTCTGTTTTTACACAATAATAATATTAAAACAATTCCATAATGGCATTACAGTGGCACTAGCAACTACTGATAAGTGTAATAATATTTTAATGCAAACATCTAAACATACAAACAAAATGCATGAAAATTTATAATTATATTTATTTATTTCCATACATTCTTTCTACGACACATAAACGATCCTATTTAATAATCACATTAAAATATTACTACACCCTGTATACAATAATACAGAAAAAGTTACTCTACAAAATACTTATAGAACTAATTCATTACTTCATAAAAATATTTACAAAAAAAAATAGAAATTATTGCTCTTAAAATGGATTTTTAATAAAAATAAAATAAAGAATCGTCTTATGGCAACATTAACATGTTTCTGTTATTATAATAACTATCGTGAGACATACTAAATTAACTAAAAATCGCGGGTTACTCGCGTGAATATACTGAGAAAAGCTCTACTAGTTTAAGCAGTTATCAGTATATTCACGTGAGTTTTTTTAAGGGGGGAAAATCATGGAATGACTGCTCCCGCCTGGGTGAGGCGGGAGGGAGTGTCAGACTCTTACTGACTAAAAACCACCCCGTTCCTACTCCTGCAGGTCGAGCCGGAGCCCCGGTAACCCGTTAGGTTCTCCGCGACATATTCACGTGAGAAACCCGCGATTTTTAGTTAATTAACATGTTTCTGAATAAAAATAATACTTTTTTATAGATTGGCTATCCAGAAATCAATAGCCTAAGTATATGATAAAGAAATACACGAATCACTAAAGTTAATATGTTCAAAAGAACGAATGAATGAATGAATTCAATTTCATTCACTCATTTACAAAAGAAGTTGGCAAGTAACGTGGCGTTTAAAAAAATCGACAACCATTCAGTATACGACTTATAAATATAAAATTTGTGTAAGTGAATGAAATAATGAATGAATGAATTTATAAACAGAATGGGTGGACGGATAGATTAAGGTATAACAAAGTAAAGACTACGTACATGTTGTTTAAAGTATCAAAATAGGATCATAGCACAGGAACCGAGGTGATAGCTTCAATGGACCGACATCTAATTATGAATTATTATGAAAACACATGATTTGACAAAGACTTAGATAATATTTTTTTCACAAACCGCTCTTGTAAGAAAAGGTTTCAATCATGTTTTAGTATATTTATCAAAGTATATACGAATTTTCACAACTTATATCTAATAATTTATAATAAGTAGTTGTATAAAGGAAGTTCTTTACACATTAATAAATTTCTACGCGACCTACAAATTCGTTTTTATTTATATCCAATTTTAAAAATTTTAAATTATAATCTTAATATTTTAGAGAGCATCAAAACACATCGACTACATTACAATTATTATTTTTACATAATTTATTATTAAATCGAAATTAATAATATTATGTCAAATTCGGAAAATTGGCAAGTTTACTCTTGACACAAATAATTCATTGAACGGAATGAATGGAAGAGTGAATGGTTAATGAATGAATGTTCAATAAAAATTAGGGTGAATGAAGGGTGGACAATGAACGAATTAAATGAACGCATTCAATGAATTATTTATGCAAAAGTTTAGAGAATTAAGATTTTATAGTATTATGTAATTTGGCTCAAGGGAAAATATTTTTTATAACGATTATTTTAAACCTACTTTCTCATTGAAGTGAACGATTGAATAATGAACGATTTAGTCATAAAATTGACTTTTAATTAAACACAGCACACGGAACACTTTACAAAGGGACAATCGAATCACTATATTTATATGAAAAACCTATTTTTACTGAACAATAACTATTTAACGTAGGATAACACTAAAGAAAATTATGCCCGTTTATACCAACCTCTCCTAAAGTTTAAGGGCCTCTTAAGCAAAGATAGGTGATGTTTAAAGACATTTTGTCTTTCACCAACATTTAAGTCACACCTAACAGTACAAGTAAGGAGTTAGTTTAGGTGCTACGTCACGGTAAATAACTTTATGTTAAGAGGCAGTTAGGGATGGTTGGCAAAACCAGCAATTAGTTTCTCTTTACGAAGGATTTTGTCCATTAAAGTAAAAAAAAAAACACTAAAACATTTTTCAAAATCCTGAATTAGTCAGTTACCTGTTTCTCAGATCCACTCTGCCATCCAGAATCCATAGTATTTGTATCACTATAACAATGATGGTGGTTGGTCTTCAAAATTTCTTCCTTAGTCTCTCTCACAGGCTCATATTGAGAATCAGGACCTAAACACTTGGAGGTCTCAGGGTCATTCGAATAAACCTGATCCTGAGGCCTATCATCGTCAGACAACAATGATTCCTCCGTATTAGGAGACAAAGGCGATATTTGCCTGAAATCTGGCTTGTTTGAATCTGAACTCGACTGCCTAGGATGATCTTTAGGCACGTTCTTAGGACTAGATCTAGGTATACGTAAGGGACTTATGTGTGTACGCATCTTCGGACTACCGTCGATACGAATGCTTGAGTTTAGCTCACTCATTCGTTCAAGACGCGAGTCATTCATTCGGTCACTGTGACGAGTGTCACTCCTGTCGCTCAGTTTAGAATCATTCATTCGTTCCATTCTTGCTTCGTTCATCCGCTCGCAGACACGCGAATCGTTAATACGTTCACTTAGTCTAGTTTCGTTCATTCGGTCGCTGATTCGAGAATCATTTATTCGGTCGCTGATTCTAGAATCGTTCATTCTTTCTATTCTCGGATCAATTACCTCACAGTTCCGCGAGTCATTTAATCTGTCTCTGGAATCGTTCATTCGTTCATTCTTTCTCGTTTCGTTCATTCGTTCACTCATCCTTGTCTCATTCATTCTGTCGCTTATACGTGAATCATTTAACCTCTCCATTCGTTCACGCTCACATACCCTTCCTTCATTCAACCTATCTCTAGAATCATTCATTCTCTCACTTAACCTCGTTTCGTTCATTCGGTCACTGATCCTACAATCATTCATGCGTTCAATGCGGTCTCTGTCATTCAATCGGTCTCTGGAATCATTCATACGTTCACTCAACCTGGTCTCATTCATTCGTTCACGTTCCATTCTTTCGTTCATTCTCATAGAATTATTGAGCTGTTCAATTTGATGTTCGGTCAATCTTATTGAGTTATTTAGCACTTGTCTCATTTTTTCTTGATTTTTAATGTGTTTCTCAGTTTGTCGTGGTCTTCGTTTGGACCCGACTTGCGGTTGGGGGCGCTGTTGTCGCGTGAGGGTGAAGGAGCCTGTGTCGGACTCCGATGTAGACTCTGGATGGTTTTCAATGGTGCCTACTAGGGCTGATACGTTGGCGTTCATGCAGCATTCGGCCTGAAAAGAAAATGTTACTTTAGATATAACAAAAACTAAATAATTTTAACTGTAAGTACAACAAAATTAATTAAATACCAATGTGGCGTTTTCCGAGTTATATGCACTTTCTAAGATTATCTAGATACCACTGATAAACGGTGAAGGAAAACATCGTGAGGAAACCGCGGCTTATAAGTTTGAAATCGTTTACCATTGAGCAAGCGTGGTGATTAATGCTCAAACCTTCTCCGTGTGAGAGGCCTTTGCTCAGCAATACACACTTATACAAAAACTACATATACATAAACTTACAATAGCCTATATTTACAAACTAGCTGTTTCCCACTACTTCGTCTGCGTAAAATATGAATTTTATAACATAATTTTGTTTCTTTCACTTTTCCAAAATAAAATTAACCTAGCTCATCATCTGTATCATTATCAGTACATCAACTACCTGCCAATTAAAGTCTTACAAAATCGATTCCAGAGATTAGCCAGTACAAACAGACAGACAGATAAAAATTGTAAAAAATGTTATTTTTGTATGTGTATCGCGTGTATATTCATATGCATGTAGTAAAAAGTTATTCATTTTATTACTAGCTTCTGCCCACGACTTCGTACGCGCAATCCCGTTTTCTCTCGTTCCCGTAAGATTTTCAGCATTTTTTATGCCATAAGAACCTTGTCCTGACAATAACAAACACAACAAAAAAAGATCAGCCAAATCGGTTTCTAGGCGTTCTCAAGTTATGGCGTGACAATGGGAAACGGGTTTCATTTTTATATAGGTATAATATGTAGATTTGGTGGGTTTCGGGTTTTTTTTTAAGAAAGCGTTGCCCCACACTAGTATTTTCTCCTGTGTCGTGTGTACGTTTACAAACATAAAAGTTCACATACACATGACACACATAGGACCCACTAGGTTTTTAGTCAAATTTCCGTGGTGCTTGGCGACTGAGCTTCACCCAGTTGTACAGTCTCTTCTTTGTGCCTTTAGGCTTAATTCATTCTGTCTCCTGCAGTAATTCACTGAGGGAAGTGGAAACTATAGTTTTTTTCTTCTCCTCTTATAATATCTTCTGATTCATTTCGTTGCGAGAACCAAGACAGTTACTCATGTCCCTGGGACGCGCCGGACTTCAGTGTTCCGGTGTTTTCATGGTTGTGTCTACTGTAGATCCTGGCTTACAGGGGTTGCAGCGGTTTTGGGAGGTTGTGGCGGGCTTGTCCCTTTTACAATACACATGACACCTAGACCCGAAACAACAATTTGTGGATCACACAAAGTGTTGTTCCGTGCGGGAATCGAACCCGCGACACGTTGCACGGCAGCCGGTTGCCCAGCCACCGTACCAACCGTGCAGTCAGTCGGTTATTAATTTTATTTATCTGTATACATGTGAATCTTAATATACTTACTTTAACAGACACATTGCAGCAACTAGAGACGTCTGCGAAGTATACTTCGGACTCCGCATTCTGGTTGGCGGCGCGACAGTCTTGCATTGATGATCTGTAGAAAATAAATAAAGATTTTATATTATTGTTTTCCAACCTTTTATTTAACTTGCTATGTATTTTTTTTATTTAATTAACTTGCTATGTATTTTATCCTTTTATTTAACTTGCTATGTATTTTATGTTTGTAAGTTTGAAGTGGAATCTTACAACTGAATTTTGATACAAATATCCTCAAAAGATTGAGCTAAAATTTTGTATACACGTTTAGTTTGCATGCTTATAATTGCTGAACTGCATAAAAACTTATTTTTAAAATGTTTATCAGGAATGATTGAATGAACGAAGTGAACGAACTAAATGAATACTGACCTGATAGGAGAATGCTTATCATTCTGGAACCCCAAATTCTCTTTTCCTTGCTTCTGACAAGAGTCAGAACTTTGATCTGAAACTGAACAAATAGATGATTTAGTAAACAAACCAACTAATGTGAAAATATGGAGGAAAGCTCTATTAGTTTAGAGCCACAGAAGGGCTCTTAGCCTACCTAATGCGCGACATCGCCGCCACCACGCATGCTGCTTATAAGGAAGAACCCCTCTGTGGTTCGACACTAGTAGAGCTTTTCTCAGTGAGTAACCCGCGATTTTTAGTTTTTTTTTATGGAATAGGAGACAAGCAGACGGAACACCTGATGGTAAGATCAGCGCCGCCCATGGACACTTGGAACACCAGAGGATTCACAGGTGCGTTGCCGGCTTTTTAAAAAGGAGTACGCTCTTTTCTTGAAGGTTTGAAGATAGTATTTGCTGTGCGAGACAGTAAGCTACGTGAGAAGCGCACAGTTGTGGCCTGCCAACCATCTATATGATGGGGATGCTGTCGTGAGAGTCGATGGTGAAAAGATGCGACAGATATCAGGTCAAACAATTCCTCAGAGCACTCCCCGTGATATAAGCGATAGAAGATGCACAATGAAGCTACATCTCTACGCATTGCCAAATTAATACTATTAGTACTATTATTAATATTAATTATTAGTTAATCTTATACTAACCTTTACTCGCAGATTTCTGATGCAAGCACTCAATAGCGACGGTATCATCAATCCTGCAATCTCTGTGCAAGTTACTAGCGCTCATCCCCAACCTCTGACACCTATACGGCACTAAGTGGCCCCTTAACGTGTTAAACCTCGCTTCAGGCGGCATATGGGCCAATTCCGCCTGCAAACGAGCCATTTCAGCTATATCCTGTGGATACATCTGCCCCATATGAGCTAATTCCGGATTCATTCGAGCCAATTCCGGATTTATTCGAGCAAATTCCGCCAATTCTGGATTTATTCGAGCCAATTCCGGGTTCATTCGAGCCAATTCTGGGTTCATTCGAGCTAATTCTGGGTTTATTCGTGTTAAGTCGGGGTTTATTCGGCTCAATTCGGTTGGGGGTAGGTTTTGATGCATTAAGTAGCTGTTTCTAGCGCATGTATGAGGTTGGATGTTGGATGGATGTTCGTGGATGTTGGTACGATGCTCCATGTGATGGTGATGGAGGAGAGTGGCGGCTGCGGGGTCTTGGTGGTGGAGGTGATGTCTGGAAAAGAAAGTGTAGTTGTCAGTGATAATCTTATACTATTATTTAATTAACCGGTTTGATTAAGTTGGCCCCTTTTGTTTTCTTATTTGGATCAAAAGTGATTGGAATTTCACCCGCTTCCTGCCGACAGATCGATCTGATATTTGGTACACACTCTTAATCTTGACCATAGAATATTAGCTAATTGTTTCCGCAACTACCTCCATTATGGACATCAAACTAGTCATATTTGACGGGAAACACAGACTCCGGCAAGGAATTCCATTCCTTAGCGGTTCGCATGAGGAAGCTTGACGCGAAACGCTTCGTGCGAATGGGTGGAATGTCCACCATATAAGGGTGGCGCCCTGCCGTTCGTCTGGTGGTATGGTGGTGAAATGGACTAGGGGAAATAAGGTTTTGCAATTCCCACACACACACACCGAAATGTATCCGAAAGGCTTGTGACTTTGCGCTTGTGTTCGAGGCTTTGTAGCCGAGCTTCCACAAGCGAATCGTAATTGATGAGCTTCTTGGCACGGCTCTCGATGGATTCGAGGGCTCAATACAATAAAATATTAAAAAATAATCACACTTTCATTAATTGATTTTATGACCAACTTAATTTTAGTACTTATCCACCAAATTTTTAACAAATAACTATGCTGTTTGACGCTAAAAAAACGTGACGTCACAATACATAATCTCGTACAAATCTTTATATATATAATTCTTCTGTGAGTGTGTATGTCATTGAACTCCTCCTAAACGGCTTAACTGATTTAAATGATTTTTTCTGTACGCGTTTGAGTGGCGCCCTGGATGGTTTAGATTTACAAATTAGCCCGGCAGATGGCGCTGCTGTCGTCTCTAAGTTATTTATCCTAAACGGCTGAACTAATTTGAATGATGTTTATAAATTAAAGTGGATATGCAGGACAACGTCTGTCGGGTCCGCTAGTTTCATAGAAAACCGTCGTTTTTGACAGTTCGAAAAAAGTATTGAGTTTGACAAGTACCCAATTGTATAATCTTACTAATATTATAAATCTGAAAGTGAGTTTGTTTGTTTGTTCCACCTTCACGCAGTAACTACTGAACCGATAGCTTTGAATTTATGCAGACGTAAAGTTAGAAGTCCGGATTAAATAATAGGGTACTTTTTAACCCGGAAAAATTGATATTCCCGAGGGAAAACAAAAGTATTGGTATAGATGGCGCTGTATGTATTGGTATATGTCACATATGCTACTTTTTATCCTTTTGTGACGCGAGCGAAGCCGCGGGTAAAAGCTAGTATTATCCATAAATATATATATATATATATCTACCTGCTACCACTCCGTCCCTGTGGACTATACGGCGGCGGAGGTCCCCATACTCCGGTGGCCGCGTCGAAGCTACCGCTCGCTTCCCCAAACCCTTCCTGGGAGAAACTCGGCTGGGGGAAGTTAGCTTGACCCTGTTAACAATTATATAATATAACATCATGCTTTTTATCCCCGAAGGGGTAGGCAGAGGTGCACATTACGGCACTTAATGCTACTGTATTGAGAACACTATTACTCAGACTCCGCTGTTCGTCCATCGGTTCGTCAGGCTGTGTCTAATGAACTGTGACAGCTAAACAGTTGAAATTTAGACAGATGATGTATTTCTGTGGACACTATAGCTAGCACAAAATTTTTATACTTGCACAAAAAACTAAATACTTGCGCAAACGAATTTAATCAACTTTTCTATCCAATATTTTTTTATGGGATAAGCCGGTAAGTGAGCAGACGGATCAGCTAATGGTAAGCAATCGGCGTCGCCCATGGACACGTGGAACACCAGAGGCGTTACAAGTGGGTTACCAGCCATTTAGGGATGAGGAATTTGAGGATTATTGGAGATTCGGGGATTGGGGAGATTGTGGAGGGGGGGTAATTGGGCCTCCGGTAAGCTCAATCACACGACGAAACACAACGCAAGCGTTGCTTCACGTCGGTTTTCTGCTCGGCCGTGGTACCACTCCGGTCGAGCCGGCCCATTCGTGCCGAAGCATGGCTCTCCCACACTTATGTCGGAATACTGAAACGCTACTCAATTTTAAGTGGTGCTTAAGTATAGTTCTGTCTCCACAAATTCTTTGTAAAATGACAGAGATGGCACGATATTTGAGCACGACTTGAGTAACGTTTCAGTATTCCGATGAAAATCATCCAATGCCTGCTCCCGCCTGGGTGAGGCGGGAGGGAGTGTCAGACTCTTACTGACTAAAAACCACCCCGTTCCTTCTCCTGCACGTCGAGCCGGAGCCCCGGTTACCCGTTAGGTAGGTATTACAATAGTTAACTTTATTACGTACCTGAACAAAATTCCCAGAGCCTTGCGCAAAGTTTCCTTGTATTTGCGCAAACGTTCCTGATGTTTGCGCTCTGTTGAACGGAGTTTGGTTAAATGAGTGAGGGTATCTGTCGTCATATCCTTGCGTCTGTTGCGTCTGCGCAGCTTCCGTTTCGCAAAATCCATACGCACTGTCTCCTGATTGGGGCACGCCCATTCTGCAGCGGGAACTGAAAGAAAATAAGTGTTTTTATAGAATAAGGTGGCAAACGAGCAGACGGATCACCTGATGGTAAGCAATCGGCGTCGCCCATGGACGCACGGAACTCCAGAGGCGTTACAATTGTGTTGCCAACATTTTAGAGGTTAGGGATTTGAGAATTAGATGTTCGAGGACTGGGGAGGAAGGGGGAGGAAGGGGAAGGGGAGGAAGGGGAAGGGGGAGGAAGGGGAAGGGGAGGAAGGGGAAGGGAGGAAGGGGAAGGGGAGAATTAGGCCTCCCATAACATCACTCACACAGCGAAACATAACGCAAGTATCTCACGTCAGTGTCGAATGAGGTCGTGGTATCACTCCGGTCGAGCCGGCCCATTCGTGCCGAAGCATGGCAATATTAAACCTACACTACTTACTTCTGACTGTTACTCCTGGGCCAAGGGAACCAGCTCCACGCTGACGTCTTCCTGCCTGTACCAGGGTTGGGAGAATACAGGTTGCCTATACGACCTGAAACATAAAAAATAAATTAATATCTTTCTAAAAACAAGGTTTTATGCAACTTAACATTTATAGTTATGCAAACTAAACGTGTATACAAAATTTCAGCTCAATCGGTGGAAGATATCTGCTTTAAAATTCAGTTGCCAGATTCTACTTCACACACATAAGTGCACATTGCAAGTTAAATACTATAATAATAAATAATTCAAAATGATTTCTGAACCCCGGTGCGACTTCGAAACTCGTCGAGGATCCTCGAAAGTTATGTGAATCCGCCACATTTTTTTTCTAAACTCATAACGTCAGGATACTATTTTGTATAAGACCTTTTTCTTTTATACCCATGTTCGTAAATAAATAAATAATTTGATTTAAAAGTTATTAAAAACTAAGATTGTCGTGGGAGCCCGGGGGTATAAGACGCCCGCTTCTCATGCATGAGTGCTGGTTCGAAACCTACCAAGCGCAAGCACCAATGTGACTTTTTCCGAGTTATATGTACTTTCTAAGATTATTTAGACACCACTGACAAACGGTGAAGGAAAACATCGTGAGGAAACCGCGGCTTATAATTTCTAATTAAAAGTTTGTAATCGCCAACCCGCATTGAGCAAGCGTGGTGATTAATGCTCATACCTTCTCCGTGTGAGAAGAGGCTTTGCATTTATAGGTTGTAGATGATGATGATAAAGATTTTAAAAATGGCAAAACGTTTACCGATTCATTGTTATATTAAGTATTAGAATAACAATTACCTGGCGCCCAAAATCTGTGTTGTAGACTTATATCCCACGCGGGCTGTGTCGGGTGACACTGCGCACAACAACTGCAGTTGCTCTGGAATCAAATAGTTTTCATTAATTAGATATATACCTACATAACATCACGCCTTTTATCCCCGAAAGGGTAGGCAAAGGTGCACATTACGACACTTAATGACTTATGAGTCCCACGTTATAGGGGGTGAGCCTTTTTAGTTTAATTTAGTATGTCTCACGATAGTTATTATAAAAAAATAATTTCGTGAGTACAAAATTGTTGCCAGAAACTATAGCAAAATAAGAGACATTGTATAACATACTTTTTTTAAAAAGAATAACGAATGGAGTTCCTTGCCCGTTCTTCTCCATTCAAATATACACTAACAGACTATTATTTATTTTGTATTTGTTGACGTTTCAGAAGTACCAAATTATGGTTTAATTGAAATAAATGCTTTGACTTTGAATTTGAATAGGAGCCGAGCAGAGTGGGTGGTATCGCGCCAAAGTAGCTATTCACGAATATAGTTTCTTACCTGAACTTGTCTTCCAGCAGACGGCGCTGCCTGTCCTGCAGAAGGTCGGTACAACGATCTACAACGCAGCTCCAATTGCTCCCAATACATCTTCTTACGTTCATGGCTAGAAAAGAAAAGAAAACGTAAATCAAAACATTATCTATGTATATTATTATTATCTATCTACACTACACATACATTGGGGGTGGGGTAGACAGAGGTGCATATTACGGCAGTTAATGCCACTGTGTAACACCTACGGACTCTTGGTCCGTGGCTTTGTCATACAATTTATTATTACAATACGTCTAAACAATACTAATAAAGTGTTTAGTTACACCCTACAATAACCCCACATCTATAATTATAACACATAACATAGGCAAAAGTGCACACAGAACTAACACCCACTTTTCACTATTATGTTATGAGTCCCATGTAATGGGCGGCTTGTATTCACGTGGCCCACGACACACGTTTTAATCTCAACATCTTCATCTTATGTGCAACAACAATAAAAAAAATTCAGTGTATACATGTATACAAGTTTTGTCTGTGAGCAAAGAATACAATGTTAACCTCTCGCGCGCCTCGCGGACACACAGGTAAACGCGCGGTCTCGTACACACGGGTAAATATTTTAACAGAAAAGCGAATTAACTATTCTGTTCAATCAAACAAAGAACGGGTTGCAAACTTGAAAATATACGTCACAGAAAAAATATCTAATCGGTGCGCGTTTCTCGTACACCCGTGTGCACAATTGCGCGATGGGCACTCAACTCTCTCGTACACCCGTGTGTACGAGAAACACGCGAGAGGTTAAAAATCATTGTAGCTAAAAATTAATTAGCCCGTGAGGGTATATAGTTGGACAGCTCTGGTCTACTGGTTCTGGTTCATGAAAAACCTCTTTCCAGAATTTTAAAACCATAGTTATGAAAACAACTGACATTCTGACAGATCATGACAAGATCAAAAGTCAAGGAGAGGATTTTAAGAACAAGTTTAAAAAGTAAAGTTTAAGCAAACGATCTATAAAAGTCTTTAAGTCAAATATAATAACGTTGTCGCAATAAGAATGTATTACGGTAGTGTAGCAAGCGACACAGAATCGCTCAGCGGTTACCCACTAGACACTCTAAGCGATGAAGAAATTGTTAAACTCGTGGAAAATCATCGCAAGCAAATCCATATACTAAAACTAGAAAATGAAGTACTTGAGAAGAGTATCATGAGGCTAGACCCGACGCTAATGACAGGCGTACAAAATGCGTTGAAATACGCTACCAATAAACTACCGGGCACCTCAGTCGAGACCCTTGGCAGTTTTGTCAAATCCCAAATAACAAAATTCGGACTCAATGAAAACTTGTCCAGAATATCTCGTAAAACCGATTCGGGAGGCAAGCTTGCCGGATCATCGGTCACCAGATTCGCAACAAGGATCAATCTGAATGAAAGACACGAACTACTCTCCATCACGATGGAACATCTAGGTAAGGAGTTAAGCGAATGGAAAAAGATCGGTAAGACAAGAAATTCACTGTTGAAAGCTCAACTGGAAAGTTGCGAACTTTGGATTATCGACACGGAAAAATCAATACAAGATTTCCAAGAAGAAGTTATCATTCAAGGCCATGACCCTCTGACGAAGCGCATCCCCGCTGAGGTATGGATTAGCTTCATGATGGAATGGTCAAAGACGACCGACAAGAAGATAGATAAAATGCGTCTTAGAAACAGCACATTGAACACACAATACAGGAAATTGAAGGACGTAGTCGGCGTCAAGGCAGAACTCAGCAAGAATTTAACTCCAGTTGACTTTGACAAGAAAAAAGTTGAGAATCAAGTGGCCGTGGAGATTTTAGAAACAAAGAAGGTACAGCTCTATCATCTGAAAGCGATGGTAGGTGACGCTAATCTAAACTTGGCGATTCACAAGAAAACTATGACGCTCGTAAACACGTACCTGTCGAAAGTGAGAAAATTGACGACGCAGAAGAAGCGTCAGGCGGTGATATGGGATAAAGAGAGCAAGGTAATAGAATTAGAGGTAAAGAATTTGGAACAAAGGATAAAAGAGATACAGAAGTTGAGGGCGACGTATCATATACCGAATATTAACGAATATGTTGCAGTGAAAGAGAAAAAGGATGAATTGATTAATGGGATAAAACGATTGGAGACGAGTTTAAATATAAAGAAGATTGCTGTAACAAGTACTCATAAACAGTTGCGGATTTTACTGAGTATGCCAAGTTTAGGAGATAAAGTGCCTGTACATACCGATACCTCTTCATTGTCGGACTGGGAATGATCGGACTGAAGGTTCAAATTGTATTAATCGATTTGAAAATAATGTGTTGAAGTTTTTAGAATAGATTACTGTAATTATGGATTGATGTCAATATTAGGCTGGCTTTAGTCTCACGCTGAAGGCACGCGTTTTTGAATTACGCGTAGCGCGCTCGTTGGTCAGCACTGACCACCAAATTCACATAGCGCTGACAGTGCGCCTGCAGTCAGCGTGAAACTAATATCAGCCTAAATTAAATAATTTTCATGATATTATTTATTGGACTTAAAAAACGCAATTATGTCTACTGAGAATATTTATTGGAAATGAGAAGAGACTCCAGTTTTGATTCTGAATATCTCAGGAACCCATATTTCTACAGGCTCTTAAGGGTTCTTGTTGTATTTTCATAATTATAGGACCAATTTCTAATTTACTTTTGTGTTAAGTTTTCAACCGACTTCATCTCTTATATGTTTATTGTTTGAAGTTTAAGTTACTTTACAGGTATATGGTATTTTAGTTATTATTGTTAATTATATGATTAAGATATTTTTCGCTTATTTATGGTTGTTTGTTTTGATTATACTAGACTAATTACCTTCCAAAATTGGATGTGTGGACTAAAATTGATCGAGTGAAAAATAGTGTTATTAGAGAAAAGTGTGGATTGAAAGATGATGTAGTGACAAGGATTGATTGAAAAGGGAATTTTACGCTGGTTTGGACACGTAGAAAGGATGGATGAAAGTAGAGTAACGAAAGAAGTATACAGAGCGGATATGAATGGGGTCGTCGGTAGAGGGCGCCTTAGACGGACATATTTAGCGATATATTAAAGAAGGGCCAAATTAAAAGTACCCTTAACCGACGAGCATGCATAAATAAAAGATTGATGACTGTTGATAAAGCGAAAGAGCTATGTAGGAAACGTAGTAATTGGCGTTCCATAGTCTCTGCCTAGACACTAGCGACAGGCGTGAAGTTATGTATGCATTTATGTAATTACCTACCATTTCTATATTAATTCAGTCATTTTTATTTAACCGCATAAAGGATCATAAAAATTGCTTCAGTATCTTTAGGCGCCGAAAGGGCTTTTCGCACGACAAATCAAAGATATAAAACCTTGTATAAACTAGAAACATCTATTATTAAACATTTTTGCCAGTCACGAAAACCTCACCTCCCATTATCGTTCGTGTTCGCCTACCATATGAAACCACGAAGGTCGAACACCAAATAACAGGCCACCAAACTATTTGAATAGACACGTCATTCCAAACATCACCATAGCAACAGTCACCTAGCAACCACATATGATTAAATCCACACACGGCAGACAGATGACAAATCCGCCAAAACATACAGGTATAATATTATCCTAATTTTGTGCAAATAACGTAAAGATGTCGAGTGTAATGCAGTCCGCCGTCCGTAGCAGTGTAATGAGTCAAAATTCAAGGTCCATCAGTGGCCTAGTACCTGACATGGACGTCCTAAGCGATGCTGAACTTGTCAAGTTAGTCAATGAACTCAAAGACAGCCTCAACATACTAGTACTAGAAAATGAGATTTTAGAAAAAACTATCATGAGACTGGAGCCTTCATTAATGCATGGAGTCTACCAAGCTTTAGAATACGCCACAAGAATGAGCTCAAACACTTCGCTAAACGTTGGAAGTTACATCAAAACGCAACCATCCAAATTCGGTATCCAAGAAACATTCCTAAGCCCCTCTAGAATGCTGACAAGCCCTTCAAGAGTGTCTACTAAGAGAGTCGAATCTATTGCTAAACTTGGTACCACTATCATATTGGGCTCCGGGCCAAGAATCAACGTTCTAGAAAGATCGGAACTAGTATCCACCGAAATGGAGGTTCTAGTCACAAATCTAAACAAAATAAGGAAGAAAGGTGCAAAACAACATGCTCTCTTAAAAGCACAGCTCGAAGAAATCGGTTTGAGAGTCAGCGAAATCGACAAGGCGAGCAATCTGTTCCACCAAGAAGTTTTAGTTGAAGGCTGGGACAAAATAGCTCAGCGGATCCCAGCTGAAATCTGGATCCGATTCATGACTGAATGGGTGAAGATATCAGACAGTCAGATAGGTAAACTAAGGCTAAGAACCAGCACTTTGAACACTCAATTTACTAAACTAAAGGGGCAAATCAAGGTCAAGGCGGAACTAAGCGAAAGTCTCAGACCAGTTGACTTCGAGAAGTTGAAAATTGAAAATGGAGAATGTGTGAAACTCATAGACCATAAGTTGCAACAACTGGGAGAGCTGAAAAAGCTGACGGGAGACGCGAATTTGAACCTTACGATCCATAAGAAGGCGATGATGGAGCAGAACCACTATTTGAACAAAGTGCTGACTACGATAAAGAGTAAGGCGCAGTCGACAGTACAACTGGACAAAGAGAGAGATTTGATACAGGTTCAAGCGGATTTGCTGGCTCAGAGGTTGAATGAAGTTAGAAAGGTGAGGCTGAAGTACGAAGTACCGAATATAATGGAGTATGTCCAAGTGAAATGGGTGGTGACGGACTTGAAACACGGTATAAAAATGCTGGAAAATAGAAAGCACATACAGCAGATAGCGTTACAGTCGATAAATAGGAAACTGCAGACTATAAGCGAGATGGTAGCTCAGAGTGAAGAATTAGAGAATACTCAGAGTTCTTCTGATACTTCCACCACTAGCACCACTTCCACTTCAACGTAAAATGATGGTTTGGAGTTAGCTTGTATCTCTAGAAAAATTCATGGAACCTTTATACTACACCAGCGCCTCTAGTGGCAAGCAAAAATATGTCATTTGCAAACTAATCAACTGCTGCAGAAATTATCTTCTATGTCTAATCTGGTGGAAGGCGATTACTATACCCTAAGCAACAATAGAGCCATCACGAGTATGTTGCCCCCCACGAAGGAAATATCAAACATGATTTAGACAGAGGCGAATTAACTCGTTGAGTACCGTCATTATAGACACAATTAAAGAACAATAGGTTGCGGTCACCGGTGACCTCTCGGTGTTTAACAGTTTAAACCTACACAGCGCCCTAGACAAGCACGTCATAGGCGCCCCTACTTATTTAGGGCGCCGCCGTCTCTCTATAGGCAGTTGGGTACACTTGTCTCGCGTCACCCTTCTGTAACCAGCAGCTGTAGCCAAATGCCATTTAGCGTTTGTCTACATGTAGAATAGAAAACCAAATTATATGGAATTGACGTAAATTTTGACACTTGTCAGTGTCATCCCCATACATTTTGATGTCTACTCTCTCTGTAGACAAGCGCTAAAGTGGCGTTTGGCTAAAGGCTCTGGCGTCCTAAACACTTGCTTAGTTTTCTTTAGGGATAATACGGCTCTGCAGTTGATCCTTTAAAAAATGATGGCGGAAAATTTCTAATGCTGCTGTGTCATCAGTAAAAATATTTGCGAATTTGTTATTAAATGTTGTTTTAGTAACTAGGGCGATTGGTGGGTTGCATTTAGATTTTTAATTAGTTATTTAATCAAATCTATTTTATTTATTGATGTTATTCATTGTTTTGTAGTTATCATTGGTAGTGTACTTTTGATGGTTTTGTTTGAAATTAAATATTTGTTTCTGATATTATCTTCACATGTATTTATTTAAAATTCTCTACAAATTACATTTTCAAATACTACTTTCAAAATAAAAAAAATATCTAAAATATAAAAAATAGTAGTTGGCCAGTAGCGGGAGAATGGTCCAAGCTACCGGTGGATATGTGCTCCAGAGACAGAAACCTCCTCACGGTACGTGCCGTTTCTAGGACTGCCTTCTGTATCAGGCCCTTGATCCATCCACCTAACGCCAGCCTCCTGAGATGAATGTCGAGGTTTTAGGGTTTTTCCCATTGGCCGAAACTACTATCGCCACAATGATAGCCGAATCCACATTCCAAATCCAAATGTCGACAACCTCGTATATTATCTTCTTTTTTATAAGATTTGAATTCGGGACCAGATTTTCACACTACCTTTATTGCTCGACACTTGATAAACTAGTTTTTCTACAGGCTTTTCTTGCGTACCAAGGTAAAATGTTGCCTATGTGTCCAGACTCTACTAGCTTCTGGCAGCAGATTCACCCGTTCATCATCATCATCATCATCATCAACAGCCTATAACTGCCGAGCAAAGCCTCTTCTCATACGGAGAAGGTTTGAGCATTAATCACCACGCTTAATCAATGCGGGTTAGTGAGTTCAAACTTATAATTTAGAAATTATAAGCCCTGGTTTCCCTTACGATGTTTTCCTTCACCGTTTGTCAATGACGTCTAAATATCTTAGAAAGTACTTATAACGCGGAAAAAGTCACATTGGTACTTGCCGTTGGTAGGTTTCGAGCCCGCACCCTCATGCATGAGAAGCGGGCGTCTTAAACCTCCGGGCTACCAGGACTATACCGGCCATCCCCGTGATATAAAAAGTAGTCTATGTGATATTCTGTGGATATTCTAGACCTTAGCCTTTATCCAAACGCCATTTCATCGCTTGTCTACAGAGAGAGTAGAAATCAAAATGTATGGGGATGACACTGACAAGTGTTAAAATTTACGTCAATTCCATATAATTTGGTTTTCTATTCTACATGTAGACAAGCGCTATATGGCATTTGGCTACAGCTGCTTAATCGACCCCAGTTCTAAATTTCAAACCGCTTCCTTCAGCTCTATAGACGTGAAGGCGTAACAAACACACATAGGCTCGTACACAAAAGTGTGCGAGCTCCCTCTACGCATCGCAAGAACTTGCGAATTGATTCACATCACGCATCAAAGTCTTATCTTCCCAAAACCTTCTTTGTTTCTTTTTCCTGTATCTCCTAAGCAATAACAGAAGTGCACACTTCTTTTTACGATCCGTGTCACGACCTAGTTTTCAATTTAAAATACGTCTAGTACGGTTGACGGTCGTCGAAGGAAAGGTCAGCCTGGGAGATGTCTTGTCGTACGAAATCGCATCGTAATTTTCTGCATTGCGAAATCACATCGCATCGCAGTTTTGCCGCAGTTACAAAGTATCGTATTTATAAAATTAGTAGTAAATATAGGTTTTCTCACCTAAGCAACTGGTAAGCCAGCATGCAACTGAAGATGCAGACGAGCACAGCGCTGACTGACAACGCGAATACGCCGCGGAGACACCAGTACAGCGCGCCGTGCACTACGCCACACTCCGATACGCCTTCGAATACGCAGCGTACTCCTAAGGGTAGGAAAAGTAAGCTTATCATTTATGGTTATGCAAACTAAACGTGTATACAAAATTTCAACTCAATCAGATGAAGATATCTGCTTCAAAATTCAGTTGTCAGATTCTACTTCACACACACACATGTATATACATTTGGTCCTTCTTTAATATATCGCCAATCTGGCACGTATATGTCCGTCTATGGCGCCCTCTACCGACGGCCCCACTCATATCCGCTCTGTATACTTCTTTCGTTACTCTACTTTCATCCATCCTTTCTACATGTCCAAACCAGCGTAACATTCCCTTTTCAATCCTTGTCACTACATCATCTTTCAATCCACACTTTTCTCTAATAACACTATTTTTCACTCGATCACTCAATTTTAGTCCACACATACATAATTCTACATTTGTGTGAAGTGTCTATCAAATATCGATCCTTATTTTCTTTTTTTTTAATAAAACGTTGCCCCACACTAGGATTTTCTCCTGTGTCGTGAGTATGTTTGCAAACATACAAGTTCACACACACATCACACCCAGACACGGAACAACAATCTTTTTTTATGGGACAAGCCCGCCGCATCCTCCCTAAACCGCTGCAACTCCTGTGCACCAGTATCTACAGTAGATACAACCATGAAAACACCGGAACACTAAAGTCCGGCGCGTCCCAGGGATATTATAAGAGGAGAAGAAGAAAAAACTATAGTTTCCACTTCCCTCGGTGAATGACTGCAGGAGACAGAATTTTGTGCGTTAATATGTCGTAATTATGTACCTTCGTCATCGGCTGAACTATGTTGCGAGTCCGGAGGCATTGAGAAGCAGGTGCAGGTTCGAGTCAGCTTCGTGTACTCGCAAAATTTCAGCGTTTGTAGTCTGAAACAAATATAAAGTCAAAGTCAAAATCATTTATTTCAATCAAATGGCAAAAATGTACATTTTTGTATTTTGTGCATAATAGTCGCCTGCCTCGTTGGCCGAGTGGTCGCAAGTGCGACTGCCGGGCAAGGGCTCTCAGGTTCGATCCCGGGTCGGGCAAAGTACAACTGTGTTTTTAAAAAACTCTCAGTGGTAGCACGGAGTGTGGAATTGTGCCCAGTATGTAGCAATATGCTTACCCCCTATTACATGGGACTCATAACATAAATAGTGAAAAGTGGGTGTTATATTGTACAATGGCATAATGTGTACCTCTCTCTCTCCCCATCATCTCTCTCTATCCCCGAAGGGGTAGACCCTTCGGGGAAGGAGGAGGCGGGACGCGTGAGGCAGCGAAGCGCTGCCTCCTCGCAACCCAGCCATCGCGAAGGACACACCGGGCGTCGGGGATCGCGGGACGATCTCCGGCCACCGTAAGCGCGGGCCTGCGGACGGGGAGCATGGGTGGCTCCCCGTCCGACCAGAAACAGACCCGAGCGTACGGCGCGTCGCGTTCCGCGCGCGCCTCAAAGAGCCATCAGACCACCACAGATGGGGCCCAATAGGGCCGATGCCGATTCGGAGTCGCGGAGAACCTAACGGGTAACCGGGGCTCCGGCTCGACGTGCAGGAGAAGGAACGGGGTGGTTTTTAGTCAGTAAGAGTCTGACACCCCCTTCCGCCTCACCCAGGCGGGAGCAGTCATTCGATGATTTTCCCCCCTTAAAAAAAAAAAAAGACCCTTCGGGGATAAAAAGCGAGATGTTATGTTATGTTTTCTTTCATATTTACAATACTTTTTTTTAATGCCTGCTCCCGCCTGGGTGAGGCGGGAGGGAGTGTCAGACTCTTACTGACTAAAAACCACCCCGTTCCTTCTCCTGCACGTCGAGCCGGAGCCCCGGTTACCCGTTAGGTTCACCGCGACATATTTACTAGTGGGACATTTTGAATGACTTACTTGTTCATATGTATGACGGTGGTGGTGATGGTGACCAGGACACACGTCAACGCACAAACTAGGCAGCAAGCTCCCACCACTTTGATCTGAAACAAATAATCAATACATAGTATAAAACAAAGTCGCTTTCGCTGTATGTCCGTATGTATGCTTAGATCTTTAAAACTACGCAACGGATTTTGACGCGGTTTTTTTTAATAGATAGAGTGATTCTTAAGGAAGGTTTGTATGTATATACATATTGCACCCGTGCGAAGCCGGGGCGGGTCGCTAGTTATATTATAATGTTTAACCTGACTGCCTCGTTGGCCGAGTGGCCGCAAGTGCGACTGCCGGGCAGGGGGTCTCGGGTTCGATTCCCGGGTCGGGCAAAGTATTACAGGGTTTTTTAAAAAAATTCTCAGTAGTAGCACGGAGTCAGGAATTGTGCCCGGTATATGGCAATAATAGGCTCACCCCCTATTACATGGGACTCATAATATAAATAGTGAAAAGTGGGTGTTACATTGTACAGTGGTATAATGTGCACCTCTGCCTACCCCTTCGGGGATAAAAGGCGTGATGTTATGTTATGTTTAACCTCTTACAACCGTACTCAAGTCATTCAATGGCTACTTAACGCAAACCTTAGAAATTGTGTACTCGCCAACTAGTCAAATTCAATACTTTTTTCGAACTGTCAACAACGACAGTTTTCTATGAATTTTGTACGAGATTGTGTATTGTGACGTCACGTTTTTTTTGCGTCAAACAGCGTACTTATTTCTTAAAAAAATGCTGGGAAAATACTAAAATTAAGTTGGTCATAAAATCAATTAATGAAAGTGTAATTATTTTTAAATATTTCATTGTAATGAACAGTCGAAATTATTAAATTTTGGTACCTACTTGAAAAGTTTATTGTATTGGGACAGTTAAGTGGCTAAGTAATCATTAACTCGTCTGAGTCGTGACTCTTCTGGTGTTGCGGGTGTCCATGGGCGGCGCTGATCGCTTACCATCAGGTGATCCGTCTGCTCCTTTGCCTCCAATTCCATAAAAAAAAAAACCTTTAATTTTTTTTATGGCATAAGCCGGTAAACGAGCAGACGGATCACCTGATGGTAAGCAATCGGTGTCGCCCATGGTCACCTGGAACACCAGAGGCGTTACAAGTGCGTTACCGGCCTTTTCGGAATTAGGAGTTTGAGGATCGTTGGGGATTCAGGAATTGGGGAGATTGGGAAAGGGGAGGGTAATTGGGCCTCCGGTAACCTCACTCACACGACGAAACACAACGCAAGCGTTGCTTCACGTCGGTTTTATGTGACTCCGGTCGAGCCGGCCCATTCGTGCCGAAGCATGGCTCTCCCACACTATAAATTTTGACTTTGAATGTAGGATCTATCTACTTATGTGCGTGCATGCAATAAAAGCGGTGATAAATGAATGACAATGAAACGAACATACTTTTCTTACCATATAGCTGTATCTGTTTCGACGGCGCGCCAGGCTCATGATGCACACGCCGGTTAGCACCAACTGGAAAGATTATTGTTAGATTTAACCCTTTGAGTACCGTCATTATAGACACAATTAAAGAACAATAGGTTGCGGTCACCGGTGTCCTCGCGGTGTTTGACAGTTTAATATAGGTTTTGTGTGACAACCCTAGAATGGGCGCGCTATTGTTAATTAGTTTGTATATCAAAAATAATGTAATTCACTTAATGTTACTAGTAACGACATCTAGTGTAAGATATGTCAGTTGTTTTGTGCTTTATGGCATTCTCCTTTCCTTTTCAATAAACTTTATTTAGTCTGTGATTGGAACGCGAACTTTGTAGTTTTATTTTAACAGCTATGACCATTTTGCCGCCCGTGCTAAAAATACTTTGATAACTTTTTAAACAATTGCCCGATAGTCTTGCACTTTTTAATAGCTGGGTCTAGTCTCGTTAGGAATGCCGAAAAATTGTGTGTCCAGTGGAGAAGCAATTTATTACCACCAAGTTTTGCCAAGCGACAAAATGCCCGAGCGAAAAAATACGTGTCTAATATTTTTTCATTACCGGACTAATTAGATTTTTAATTTTCATACCCTGTCATCATCCCAATTGTACGTCGTGTAGATGCGAAACATATCATAAACTAAAAAATCAGTCCAAGATCACATTACGGAATACAATAGGGGCTAACGTTTTTCTGCTCATCAAATGGAGCAAATGAAGGAAGGAGTTTTTATTGTACAATCATAGCAACTGTCAAATTATATTGATCGTCCAATGGTGTTACACTAGCTGAATGGGGTAGTTTCCAGGGTATCAAAATTAAAAATCTAATTAGTCCGTTATATAATGAAAAAATATAAGACACGTATTTTTTTATTTACTCGTATTACGTTACAATACTTAAATAAAATGGCGCTAAGTTTAGGAATTAGGTCATTACGTCCTAACGTGCTACAAAATGTGGCACGCTTTGACGTGTGAGAAAAGAAAAAATAGGTACGTGGTTAATGTTATAAATTAATGTACCAGACGGACATTAGAATGAATTTAGGAAACTACCCTTGGACGAAAAATGTGAGTTTACACTAGCGTCATCTATATAGAACACAATATCATTCTAAGGACAAGGACAGGTTTGCCATAACCCTTGTGTTACCATAATTCTAACCGAGAGATTCAATGAGGAAAAGCGATCTTTTCGCCAGCATCCCGCCCAGCGTACTAACGACCCTAATAGCCGCATACGCTCCCAAAGATGGAATTCTCTCCTTCATTCATATCTACCTCGATCAGCAGCCATGAGACATCTAGCAAAGAACGAAAACCTTTAACACTTTGACTGCCAATAAAAAACTGTTGAAGGTAAATCCTCCACTAACGCCGGTCACCGGTGACCCCCATGGCGTTTAACGTGTTAAGATTAAGCTGTCTGCGCTGTGCAAGAGGCGTATAGATGACAATGACTGAAAACGTGACTAGGTGGTATAGCAGTGTTTAAACGTAGTTTTTAACCGACATCAAAAAAGGAAGAATTTCTCAATTCGACCAAATAATATAATGAGAAATAACAAAAGTTGTTACTAATTAATTAATTCTTATTTATTGCAATTTTGGTAATGTAGAGAAATTAGGTAAATTTAATTTAATTGATATAGTGTTCTCAACTCAACGCATGCTGTGATGTCCTTCAAATGTGGTCCATTAGCAGAGGAAGATATTAATTCCTAATTTTAAGTTAATGATAAAAATGTAACAACAACTGGATGTCCAAATAAATAAATAAATAAATAAATAAATAAATAAATAAATAAATAAATAAATAAATAAATAAATAAATAAATAAATAAATAAATAAATAAATAAATAAATAAATAAATAAATAAATAAATAAATAAATAAATAAATAAATGTTTATTTTTTCTAATGAAAGACGCAAAAACATGAAATTTTCTCACCATAGCAGCAGGTACAGCAGCGGGAACAGTCTCCAGATGCTGCGGCGAGGCGGTGTAGGCCCGCAGTAGTATGTGCTGGGCCGCCAGCAGCCCGCCCAGCGCCGCCGCCAGCGCACCGCACCCCACGCACCACCACGCGTACTTCCGACGCCGGCACGTACCGTCATTACCATTGCAACCAACTGATGCTGGAATGAAAAGGACTTGGTTAAAGTTTTTTTTTAAACTTTTCTTTAAAAGCCCCATTCTAAGATTTTCTCCTGTGTCGTAGGTGCGTTTATTAATATACAAGTTCACATACACATGACACCTTTTTTTTGTTGACGGGGGGAAACCTTTCAAAGGCGCCTAGCTTTTTGGGGAGAAAGACTTGGGAGTGTGGGATTCGTACCTCACTTTTTTTTTTAAGGGGGGAAAATCATCGAATTACTGCCCCCGCCTGGGTGAGGCGGAAGGGAGTCAGACTCTTACTGACTAAAAACCACCCCGTTCCTTCTCCTGCACGTCGAGCCGAAGCCCCGGTTACCCGTTAGGTTCCCCGCGACATTCGTACCTCACTAAAACCACCCCGGTGGCCACCATCCGAACTTGAAGGAGGCACCGGGTCCTCTTAGTAGACCAACTCCGCAGATACACATGACACATAGAACCGGAACAACGATTTGTGGATCACACAATGAGTTGCTCCGTGTGGGAATCGAACCCGCTATACGTTGCGCGGCAGTCCATTGCCCAGCCACCGCGCCAACTTTGCTATGAAACTATATAAATGTTTTTAGTATTTTTTTTATACATTAGATGGGCCGACATTTGACCACTATCTCGCCTGGCCTGGTGGTAAGCGATGATGAGCACGTCGTCCCATAAGCAACCTATTCACTCGGGCCTTGAAGACACCCAATTCTTTTTGTAAAACTGCATGAAATCTTCGACCACGATTCTTATACTTTCTTATTGTTAGTTTTGTCATTCAAACATTGAGCGTGATGCGTATTGTAGTGAACTTGTTCAGTGTATTTTTTTTCAAATGGTAAAGTGCCTACCATATCATAATATTATTTCGTAAGATTTTGTTTTCGCAGTCATGATTCAAATATTTTCTTACATAACACGCGGACGGGGACGTTTTAAATAAATAAAACAGAAATAAATAAATAGGTAACAAAAAATTCCGTGAATTAACCCCTCGAGCGTCCTTATGAGCACCCGGTGGATCATATTCATAAGAAAAAATGCTCCAAATGTCACGTGTGCACCCGTTGGATCATAAGAAACGTGGACGCTCGACGGGTTAATCTTTCGTAAATAAAATTCCTTTATTATCGGTCGTTGAGTTAAACATACCAATTTATGGTATTTTGGAAGCATTCGCCAAATAAATACATTTTATTTCTCTATTATATTTCTTGCGTTTTGGTATGGTTTATTTAAATAAAATATTTACCAAAATACGGCGGTGGCGGCACATAATGTTGAGGCACATCAGCGGCTATTGTAGATCGTGGCGTAGAAACCTGGTACTGTACCACTTGCATAACACCGCACGCTTGCATCACAAACAAACTAAACACTTAACCATTTTAATAACAAAACTTTTAATAATATCAACGAAATTACACTAAAATAATTCACGAAATCATAATGTCCGATTTCCCGCCATGTCAGTTTTTACTTTTTTATTTATGGACAAGCAACCACGTTCGAATTCCACCGTGAACTTTCAAATCGCGCGCCTTTTCTATAAAATCGATATTTACACCCCAAGCTAACCGTGCGTAAAGAACAATGACCCCTTTACATTATAACAACAATACTATTTACATTCACCAGAGACTTTAACATTTACACTCGCACAAAATAATTAAAAATTTATCAATTCCTTTTATTTTAATTCCATAAATTCGTCATTTATTTTTTCCCTCCGTTCCTTTGTTTTTTAACACAATAATAACACAAACTTGATATAATTTTTGAAGAAACGATAGATTATTAAATTTTTTATAATTTTTGACGTTTTATTCGATTTTATTTTCACGATAAACAAAATCTCGTTGCATTATTGAGTTTACGTTGTAAGGTTATGTGGATTTGACAATGGCCGTTTCGCGCAGAAGCAGTAAGCTCTTTATGTCGCTCAGGTAGAAAGGTCTTAAATTAAATGTATGGGAATGTGACTTATGGATTTTGTTGTGCACATACATAAACTGTATTACTGTAGTTAAAGCTATATTTTTTCAATGTAGAACAGGTAGTTTTGTGCAAAAAGGTTTCATGTGTGGGTGAGGTTTGATTTTTTTAATCTATTGTATTGGATGAATGAATGACATTTCGGTTTTGGTGGGAATGCTTAAAACCGAAAAAAAAATTTTATTGTACGAATTCTGTAACTAACAACAATTGATTTTATAATTATATATTTTAGAAATCTACAGCAAAAACTGTAAATTGATGGCCGGAAAACATTAACCTGTCGATTTTACAATAAAATCTAAGTACGTATAGGTGCTATGGATTTTGTTACGCCTTTCAAATAGTGTGAGAAAGGATAACTTTTTGCACATCTAGTTGCGCTCTTTGATGTATAGTGGCATCCAGAGACAAGTGTCTTTGATTTTATTTGAAAGCGTTGGTGCTTCCCTTTTTTTTAAACGGTTTTCTAAATACAAATTCACAATAATGGCCCTTTTGCACTTTAAGCATGCATAAAGCTAGAGAATGCATGGAATTTTGAAACTGCTAACCACTATTGAGCAAGTGTGGTGATTAATGCTCTTCTTCGTGTGAGAAGAGGCTTTTGGTCAGCAGTGCCACTTATAGGCTGTTGATGTAATGTGTGTGATGCATGGATGACGTCAACATCCCCTGAAAGTCCACATCCATTGCTGGACTATGCCCTTCTCAAAGGTTCAGGTTTATCAGAGAGCGCTGCTGCCCGGTCTCTGTTAAATGTATACATCCTTAGCCGGGTATACGACACCCGCGGGAAGAGTAGGGGTGGTCACAAATGTATTCTACTCTGCCTTCTTTCATCATCACACGGTGTCCTCATAGCCACTTCTAATGTTAAAAATATTCAAAAAACTTACTATTGTTCCTCCGGTTGGTAGCTGCTAGTACGCTGGTGGGAGGACGGGGGGGTAGCGCGGGTGGGGTGTCAGTCTTCGCGGGCGCGGGGGGGCCGGGGTCATCCGCGCATGCGTACTGCGCTGACGATGGCTTGCACGTACATGCTACTTGGTACTGGAAAATAGAAAAAAGTTTTAAATTTTTTTACAATTTTCGATATTTTTACAGTTTTGGCAACTCCTTTTTAGATAAGATAAAGGTATTCTTGTAAAACATAAGTACAGATTATTAGGTCTTATAAAAATTAAGGAACTTCGTGTTTTGTTATTTGAGGCGTATTAAGTAAGTATAAGAGTTACGCAAGGAATACAAAAAATGAATAAAAGAAAATCAAAAAAGTGATATTAAAGTGATTGAAGTTCTAAAAAGAAAGACCTTAGACCAGGGTGCTTCCTCTTGAAACCAATCTCAATGTCAATGCAATTTCAATCCAATAAAATCTCAATAATTATTCAATGTTAACACTATACAACCCCTATTGAAATAGCATTCAGAGTACGGAACCATTTAGTTCATTCAGTATCCACGCAATGTAGATGCAATGGGCGCTAGTGTTGCAATTTAAACTGTCAAACACCAAGCGGTCACCGGTGACCGCGACCTTTAATTGTGTTCTTTAATTGTGTCTATAAAACCGGTACTCGACGAGTTAAGAGTAATGAGACTCACAATACCAATGGCGATACATTGGTATTGGGAAATAGAATAATTATTGAGATTTTATTGGTTTGAAATTGCATTGACATGGAGATTGGATTCAAGAGTGAGGTATTCCTCGTAGCGCTCCCGTTTTGAAGCGCTCCCATCTAAGCGCTCCCGTTTTATTCCTTCGAGGAACGATAGATAGGCCAGATAGGCCGGCTTGCAGTATGATAACAGTTCAAGTTCAAATACCTTATGTAAATCAGAAGTGACGGAGGCGCTAGTGTCGCATTCAGGGCAGGCTTCTGGTGCCGGCGAGCTGCGAGCTGATGTCACGTCACCTAGCGACATCTTTCACAACTTGTTGATGCTGGAAAGAGATAGAAATATTATAAGGACATAATATATTATCTTCTATACATATAATAAAATCGTAGGAACGTGAAAACTGTACATCGAATATTTTTTTGAAAGAATGCTTTGGGCGTGATCAATGGTCGATTACGAAACCAAAAATATGTTTTTTAATTTTTTTTTCTGTTTGTCTGTATGTATGTCCGGGATGAACTCAAAAAGTGCTGCATGGATTTACTTCAAATTTTGCATAAATGTTACTTTGTTTCAGTCAGTCAGTAGGCCACATATTATCATACTATCAACTACGGGGGAGGAGCTGTGAATCACTATTCTACGCGGACTTAGTAGCAGGCTCAGCTAGTTAGGGTTAAATAGAAAATTAATTCAATGACGCGCAAAAAACAAAAACGCGTTCTATGGCAGCAAAACAACTGTTAATCCATCTACATCCGGTCTCTATGGTCACATCCGGCGCGTCCAGCTGTTTTACCCGACTAACAAACAAAAGAGGTATGTGTTTACAGCTGTATTTTATTGAATAGGGTTTGAAATATAAAAGAAATTAGCCATTGAAGTTAATAGGCAGTCCTGTTGAGCGGCCAGTAGCAATCACAGACTACTTAGAGATATGGTCGCAATTACAATATACCTGATCATAGATACTAATACTTTTTTTTAAGGGGGGAAAATCATCGAATGACTGCCTGGGTGAGGCGGGAGGGAGTGTCAGACTCTTACTGACTAAAAACCACCCCGTTCCTTCTCCTGCACCTCGAGCCGGTGCCCCGATAACCCGTTAGGTTCTCCGCGACAGATACTACTACTAGAGAAAAAATTCTGAGCTTAGGTATGTTAAAAAAATAGGAAATCTGCAGAATAAGGACAGATATTATTGAAACATTACAACCAGACCATTACAGGGACGAAAGAGTTGCATTGCAGATTGGCGATATATTAAAGAAGAGCCAATTTAAAAGTACCCTTAACCAACGAGCATACATGAAAATATTGATGACTGTTGATTGTGTCGTGGATGCGCTTATAGTGATTCACCAAAGGTCGCTGCACTACTGACGCGGGAGTAGCTCTAATTAAGCGGGTGTTCGCCTCTTGGGAAGAAGCACGGGATGCCATCGGCATATTTTGTGATCTTTCGAAGGCATTCGACTGTGTTGAGCATGAGACACTATTGCTGAAGCTGAAACACTACGGCATTCGGGGGACGTCGCTAAATCTGTTGAAATCATACCTTCAGGATAGGCAACTTAAAGTACAAGTAAATAAAGTAAATTCACAGGGTGCTAGCATATCTATGGGTGTACCGCAGGGCTCGATACTAGGTCCATTCTTATTTTTAGCGTACATAAATGACTTGCCCCATTTATTTAAAAATGAACCGCAGATGGTATTAGTTGCTGATGACACTTCATTAGTTTTTAAAATTAATAGACGCACAAATAGTTATGACGACGTAAATAATGCCCTAATGAAAGTTCATAATTGATTTACATTAAATAACTTAGTACTAAACAATAAAAAGACAAAATGTATTAAATTTGTTTTGCCAAATGTTAAAAGCAACGATTGTGACATATTATTGAATGGTGAGAAATTAGAGTTTGTAAAAGAGACAACTTTCCTGGGAATTACTGTAGACGACAAATTGCAATGGGGTCCTCACATTACATCATTAGCGGGACGATTGAGCTCTGCAGCTTATGCTGTCTGGAAGATACGACAGTTAACTGACATAGACACGGCAAGACTAGTGTATTTCAGTTACTTTCATAGCATTATGTCGTATGGCATCTTGCTGTGGGGACACGCTGCTGACATTGAATCTATCTTTATCTTACAAAAGCGCGCCGTCAGAGCTATCTACAATCTAGGTCGTCGCGAATCACTCAGAGAAAGGTTTAAGGAGATCAACATTATGACCGTTCCATGTCAATTTATTTATGAAAACATTATGTATGTTAGGAAAAACCTACAGTTATTTGGTAAAGTGTCGGACAGACACCACTATCAAACTAGACATGAATAGATTAAGTCAGCCAATTTCGAGATTAGCGAAAGTAAGTAAGTCGTTCATGGGATTCTGTGTTAAATGTTATAATAAGATACCAGGCGATGTACAACAACTAAATGAATCGAAATTTAAATTATGTATAAAGAAAACTTTATGTAGACAAGCATATTACAAACTTAATGAATATATAGAGGATAAAAATGCTTGGATGCAGGCTAGTCCGGCTCCACAGGATAACTAAAAACACTTGTTTTAATGAAATCGTAAATAATACAGCCATGTTGCTAAATTGTATATTGTTTAACTTAGATAACCATTGTAAATGTGAGAGCCCTGTAATTAACTTAATATTAAATTAGATTAGTAGATTTCATTTGTGTCAGCTTGGAGTTGTCATGCTCACTCAAAGGTCTCATTGGCGGTGGCGCGTGCAGTGGATCGCTCGATTCCCTACAATATGGTTGAGTTGAGCGGTGCTGGTGTACGTGTCATGTTCGTGAACGGGCGCCGTCAACTGGGACTGGTCAGCTCCAGACTGTATTACTGTCCTTAAGGTTATTTTCTTTTTTGATCACTTTGACTGGATTTTAGTGTTACATTGTTCTCGCACAATCCAAACAGCAAAACTATGTAACTAGTAAATTGTATTGTGAACCTGATTGAAAAAGAGTAACCTATGGAGTTTCTTGCTCGTTCTTCTCCATAGGAATCTACGCCTTGGAATGAGCAAATAGCTTCACTTTAAATTTTTATTTTTGTTGACGTTCAAAAGTGCCATTCTGGCCTAATTGAAATAAATGATTTTGACTTTGACTTTGACTTTGAGTGTGGATCACACAAAGAAAGTTGCTCCGTGAGGAATCGAACGCGCGACACGTTGCGCGGTAGCCGGTTGCGCGCGCCAACCGTGGCGTAACAACAATAAACCATACAAAATTTGTGTGACCCACCATCGACTAGATACAAAGTTATGATGTCATTTAGATTGTCTTAACGGATGCCATTTAGACTTTTAGAGCGGGGACCTAATGAGGTCAAACTCGGCCGATCTAATAACACTACATTGTCCTGCCACTAACTATAAAATGTCATCATGACATGCCTTTGATACATATCCAGCAACTCGCGAACGGTTTCACACGCTACTCCTATTACACGAAGCGTGAAGTTGTATGATTTTCCTTGATAAATAGCCTATATAACAAGTTTTTCATTCGAATCAGCTACGGTATTCTGTAAGATGGGACAAGCCCGCCACAACCTCCCAAAACAGCCAGGAGCTACAGTAGATACAACCATGAAAACACCGGAACACTGAAGTCCGGCGCATCTCAGGGACATGAATAACTGTCTTGGTTCCCGCAACGAAATAAATCAGAAGATAATTATAAGAGGAGAAGAAAACAAACGATAGTTTCCACTTCCCTCGGTGAATTACTGCAGGAAATATATTCTGTAAGATATCAATTCGAACTCTCGAAGTTCGCTAACAGACCAGAACCAGACCCGAGCGTACGGCGCGTCACGTACCGCGCGCACCTCAAAGAGCGATCAGACTACCACAGATGGGGCCGAATAGGGCTGATGCTGATACGGAGCCGCGGAGAACGTAAAAGGTAACCGGGGCTCCGGCTCGAAGTGCAGGAGTAGGAACGGGGTGGTTTTTAGTCAGTAAGAGTCTGAATCAATTCGTACCCTCGAAGTGAGTTGGTCGCATGCTCAGCAGTGGGCATTTATAGGGCTGTTGATGATAAATGACTTCCAGTTAGGCCGATTAAAAAAAAATGTTTCTATCTTTAACTATAAAAGATACAAACGCATCAAACTCTTGAGAAATTTCAAATAAAATGGTTGAATTGAAACAATCATTTGATTGGTAAATTAAGCCCAATCCTCAATTAAACGAAACCCAATAATTTCGAGTGCGGTAAATGCTACGGGCTCGCCTATTAACAAATTAGGTTTTGGAATTCTTCATTGCCAAAGAAAAATGTAGACGGTAAAATTTTATTACCGTTTTTCTTTTTTAAACAACTTCCCAAAAAGGAGATTTTGTCAAATCGGCCGGTATCTTTTGTTTTTTAATTTTAGAAAACATGGTCCAGTCGCAATCACAAACACAACATTCACATCACTGATCACACCAAGTTGATTACATACAAATTGTTCCTTGCTGAGTCGACACCGTTACCTATTGCACAGCAGCCGGTGACCTTGCCATTGCAACAATCCGTATGTCATGTGTTCGTAGACATTTTTAAATAAAAAAGTATAAAAAAGTAATCATTTTTATTTGAAAAGTAAAACCTACGGAATTACAAGACATAAAAATAAAAATTAATTCGTCAATAAAAATATTTACATATCGCCGCCATCGCGGCGAACAAATCATAATTTCGAATTTCGAACGACCATCGACACAGATCGTTTAGTGAGTGAATGAATGATTGAACGATTACGCGCGGTCATCGACCTCCGTGAAGCGGTTTGTCAACAATTCGTGAGCCTTTTTTGTTGTTTTTAAGGCGTGGGAAGTCTATATACTGCCTAGTTGACTTAAGTAAGGCTGCTATTCAACCTAGATTTGAACTCTTTGCTAACTGAAGATTAATTGTAGAGGTCACTTGTTCCAATTCTGGAACGTAATCCAATTCTGGCAGGACGTAATCGCTGCTGTACTATCTACGGAACAAGACTGAAGCAAAATATTTGAGGTTTTGATTTAAAATGAGTATAGAGTCTAGAACGTGGGGCACCGTTTTTTGCTAACTAGATACACGGCCATTTAGTCGCTTCCTTTTACCTATATGAACAAAGTCAAAGGCAAAGCATTTATTTTAATTAAACCATAATTTGGTACTTTTTAAACGTCAACAAATACAAAATAAATAAATCTGTCAGTCTGTCCGTCAGTGAAGCTAGGTGCTCGTTCTAAAATGTAGATTCGAATAGAGAAGAACGAGCAAGAAACTCCATTCGTTACT